TTCGAAATTGTATCAATTTTTCTATCTAATATTTTTGATAATTATTGATGAATGACTGGATATGTGAGATGTTGATCCGGGTGTTTTGTCAGGATTTAAAGGTATATGGATCGTATCTTATTATTTGCGAATATAAAATCGAAAATTCAAAGATTATTTAATTCAATTTGAATTATTCAAATTTTCGTTCTTTAGTTTATTAAAAATCATTTGAAAAATAATTCAAAGATTGAACCCTTTTATTTTTATTATTTAAAAATAATTATTGAGACAAAATTCAACAGCAGTTTTATTTTGAACAAGTAAAATTTGTAGACTTTTAGCTGTTATTGGTAGAATGCGCTAATCTACGTAGTACTCTTCTTTTATCTTCTTAATGAACTGTTACATTCAGAGTTTGTAAGTCAATATGAATTCCATAAGCCATTTTTTCTATTATAAAAGAAAATCAAGCATCTATCGGAAAAACATGAATATCAATCTACTAATATCTATATACGAGAAGGAAAAATGTAGAAAAAAAGATTTGAAGATCGAGGAATAAAAACTTGGATATCGTTATTCGAATTGTCTTCAAACACGCCAACACTGAGGTCACACGTTGAATAAATATTGAATCAACTTTTTGAAGTACGATAAAAATGATATGAAATCCCCTTCGACCTTGATCAAAATTATCACTAATCTTAGTCGAATTCGCCTCTCTTGGTCATGCTGCATTAGTGTTCTTTCCTTAATACGTGAAGGAAATAAATTAGCTGGTCAATACCAGTCTTGATTAAGATTAAGATTCGATGTACTTACCCCCAGCCAAGGATGTTACTACGTTCAAAATCTTTTTTAATGCAAAAGCACCTTACATGGTCAACTGATTTCATTCATCTCTTTTTTAAACAATTTATTGGACAATACACCTGTTTGCCTGAAATTAAAAAAAATGACATTTTGCTGTAAATTAAGTACATTCATCTTCCAAAATCAGAGGTAGTACGTTGAGGCTACAATCATTCAGCTTCAAATGGACTATATTCGATAGTTATAGGCCTTTCTACATTTATTAAGGTTCCTATTGCATACATCAGCGAACTGTACATCTTTCTAAAATAAATATGTTTTGAATTCGAAGCTAAAGTTTTTAAATATGATCACTTATCAATGAAATTTTCCAAAAAAAAGAACAATTTAATTTCTTAACTTTATTGTTGACTGAAGTTTAAAGCTTTGATTATATCTTTAAAAGTTTATTTGACTTATGATCGCAAATCAGAAGTAGCCATTGAAAAAACATTTAAAATTTTTAGCATTTGCTGAAAAAATGATAAATATTATTTCTCATTGTTTATTTTGATAATAAAAAGTATTCAAATTCTTCAAATTGATAAACAAGTTAAATAATATGTAGAGATTCTCAAATCTTGGTATTTTTTCTTTATAGAGTGCTGTGCAGGTTCAACCTTTGGGAGGCAGTACTTAATCTGATTCAACCCCATGTAATAAGTGTCGAAGCCAAAAATCTTACTTATTTATTAATGCTCGATCAGTTATATTCTTCTCATTAGTTTCTTTAGCAATATGAGAATTAATTATTTTTGAAGAGAATATCGTCAAACTCTTCGAAACTAACATAGATTATATAATCAACATAGTAATATGCAATTATAAAATATCACTTATTATGCATTCATATTTACTAAGAAATGATGATAACACAGTATAGTCTTCTTATTAAAATTCTCGAAAACCAAAGTAACAATGACATGATTTATAAGTAATACTTATTATTTTGTAATAGAGTATGTTGAAATGAAAAATATTTGCTATGTTTGTCCGAGAACATGTCTACTATCAAGTATACAACTACAATAATTTGTCTCTATTTTATACAAGAATAATTAATAATTGATTTTTATATCATCCATGCAACAGCATATAGAAAGAGTGGTAGATTCTTTTTGCAAAAATAAAACTCAGCAAAAATCGAACAATATCATAATTCAACACGCACCGGTCTGTGTATCGGACCAAGTTGCTAGACTCTAGCTTATTATCGTCATGAACATTTGACAATTATCGTCATGAACATTTGACAAATACTGTCATTCAAAAACTTTTCTCTTTGGAATAATTCAGTAATAAATTGAGTGTTGAGTGAACTTATGAACTAAGACGAACAATTTAATGGTATTAAAACGAAATGATGTCTGATAGGATTCTCAGTTATCTCAAAATATCTTCTCTTGTTTGGTATTGAGCGATAAGTTGTTGAATAGAGTCAACATTTTAAGAAGTTTTATCATAGTAATAAAGTTTGTTGGTAAGTATGCTCTTCGCCGAAAACTCAAATCGCTGACACGACGTGGAAGGGTGTGGGTGTGTGGGTTAGGCTTCTGCGTGACCATGATTTTTCAGTCACGTCATGGCCACGGAAATTTTGGATTACTAGCTCAATTTTTGTGCTAAAAAATCAAGATTTAAATTGATTTCGTTGATTTCTTCTGTAGTAAAACAAAGAAAACCCGTAAATCAATTAAAATCTTGATTTTTTTCATAAAAATCAGATTTGTAATATTAAAATTTTTCACCAGTAAGTCACGATCACGAGCTATTTGGTCACGATCACGATCCCAGTCACGATAGTTTTTCGAAAACTAGTCACGGTCACGGTCACGAGAGACCGTGACCATTTTGCAGAAGTCTAGTGTGGGTAGGTGTGGGCGGTGTGTGGGTGGGTGTGGGTGTGAGTGGGTGTGGGTGTGGATGTGTGTGGATGTGGTTGTGCGGATGGATCTGGGTGTGGCTGATTGAAGAAGAATAACCTATATCCACACCCACACCCACACCCACACACCCATCCTTCAATGCTGAGTACTAATGATCAGATTTTCATTTCTTTTTATAGCTTCTTTTTTTGAAAAACTATAGTAAACACATTCAGATAGTTTTATTTTACAGAAGCTTTTTTAAATACTTTATTCAAAATTTCTCTTTTAATCATTACAATGCCTAGATACATTCTAAAATGCTTAATATTATAAATCATTTTCACACTACTATGAAGAAGCAGTCTCTTGCAAAACCATATGTGCCACCTTTTCACCAATAGCATACGCAGGCGCCTATGGGTGTCCACTATTGAGGATCGGCAGAATGGAAACATCCGCTACTCGCAAGCTCTCGACATTCCGCACACGGAGACGGTTGTCCACTACTCCCATCGGATCATTGTTGGGTGCCATCTTGCATGTACCACCCGCATGACAGCAGCTATAGGCGAATGCTCGTGCATGCTCTTTCCAACCATTCAAATCTGTTGGAAAAGAAGTCGTTTTTGGCCAAGCACCGATGATGATATCTTTTGTTCCTCGACCTTTCATCAACACTTCGTGAGCGAGCCGACAACCTTCAGCAAGCACCGCCAGGTCGAGATCGTTGTCAAGTAAGGCGTGATCAATGATTGGTTTGCTTGTTGGGTCGCTGGACGATAATCGTACGGTACCTTTCGCTTGCTGTCCACATAGAAGTGTGATCAGTTCAAAAGCACCTTCGCCATTAGATGGAACTATATGTATATATAGATAGATAGATAAAATCAACACTATCACATATTTTGTTTATGCTCTAGTTATTTAAGATAACTAATCCTACCAAACGAATATATTCAGAAGCGATCTGTCAACTATTATGTAGTTTGCTTCAAAATGATCATTGTACTTTTTCAGATCTAATGAATGTTGTTTTCAATCTTTGGTTAAATTCGATTTATCAGATTGTCGAGAAAGTCAAATTACATTTGCATCTGAACTCTCAGACTTCTTACTCTGCAACGCAATAGATATCTATTAGATTCGTTTTGACAAAAAAAATCTTTAAGACGGTCCTATTCTCAATGCACGAAGACAAGCAAAAATTTTCAAGTATATAGTACATCGTATCTTCTCAATTTTGCTCATAGTTCGCTAAAAGCATCCAGGTTCACTAGAAAAACTGAAGAGAACGTACTTGACTGATTTTGCGGATCAAGATCGAACGGAAGAAAGTACAGTTCAGTATTGAAGAACTCGATATGAGGTTGATTAGGTAACTGTCCAGTTGGATCATCGCACTGCTGTTCGGATTTGGCAGCTTCCCAAGTGGGATCTTGAATCGATTTGTCAATTCGTGTAAGCGCAAAGCATCCGAATACAAATCTTGCCATGGGTCCTGTTTTAGTATCATGCCATTCTTTGATTGATAATGCGAGAGTGTCTGAGCTATGGTAAAAAAGCCGATCGAGTGTAAGTTTGGGATCCTTTACTTGATAAGTCGTAAAAACCTAGACAGCAACATAAATGATGCTATAAATGAGTGAAGAAAAACGTTGCATACGATCGGGTGATCTTGGAGATTTTCACCAACGCCAGGCAGATCGACCTTACAATCGATGTTCATTTCTGTGAGGTGATCTCTCCGACCAATACCAGAGTGCATCAAGATTATTGGAGAGTTATAAGCACTAAATTAAAAAGAATCTCCTTTTGCGCACATAGATATAATCTCGAAAAAACGAGATATATTAATAGAAAAAAGTATGTAAATTACTTCTTCTGGAAGGCTGCCCTAGCTATTCTTGCTTAAGAAATCTTTAGGATAAAAGTATAAGGTAGATTTTCCAAAACGGTTGCCTAAAATCTTCTAAGAGAATGGATGAAATATAAAACTGTCTGTAAAGGAGAGTTTTCAAGCGTTTGTCTCACCCAGCACTCAAGATAATTTCTTTTCTAGCTTTGATGATTATTGGTTGATTCGTTGCATCCACATGGGCCTCGACGCCAACTGCCTTGTATTCACGGCCTTCACTATTGTCTGTATTATTTGTTTCCAGAATGATTCGATTAACGTATACACCTGTTTTAACAGTGAGGTTTGCTATCGTACAATTGTGCACAAAATCTGCACTTGTAGACCTAATACCGTTGTGAATTGTGCGAACAACATGTCCAACACCTAGAGATACTCTGATATCAATACTTTGTAATATGACATAAGCATATCAGACCTTCGTATTCGCCTTGAACAAACATATCAGGTTTGTATTCAAAGCCTTGATCGATAAATGATTCGAGAATTTTTTCGGAGATAGGTGCTAGAGGATGCGGTTCGGTATGCAGGGGTCCACTAGTACCGTGAGCAGACAAGTCTGCTTGGTGCCACTCAGCAGGATGAAATGTTTCAGATGCTTTAAAGTGAGGCAGCATGTCATTCCAACTCCATCCTGGATTTCCCATGCCAGCGACCCGATCATAATCCGCCTTGACACCTCGGGTAAACACTGTACCATTGATTCCACTGCAACCTCCGAGAAAACGACCTCGTGAAGCGGCTAGAACACGATTGTTACATCCTTTTTGGGGAACCATATCGTAGCCCCAAAACATCTCACACTGCTGAAACAGCGCTGGTGTACCACCAGGCATTCGACTGTTGTCCAAACCTTCGTGACTGTTACAAAGAATAACTTACTCTAAATAAGGAAGTAGTGTACAAAAGGACAAACCTAGGACCAGCTTCGAGAAGACACACACTGTAGTGATCTTTTCCCTCGGCCAAACGTCGAGCTGCAACTGCACCACTTGTTCCACCTCCAATAACGATATAATCATAAATGTCAAGATCATCCTTTATGTTAGCCATTCTAGAAAACGGACAATAAATGGATATTTTACAAACCTCTTAGCTACATTCGTCTTATAACGCTCAGCCGAAAATCATTAAAAGTGGTTTTTTTGGAAATAGCTGCCTACATTCATAATTCTCTCTTTAGTTTTTCTTCGTCTAACTGTCATAGGAATTACATTAATAAGAGCCATTATTTAATCTCAAGTAAAAATAACTCCTTAGTCGGCACGGTTTTAGTCGAAATAATGTTGTCATGTCCTTGATTTATTTACATAAGATCTCGCGCTTTACTATATATGCGTGTAACAAACGTTCGACTACAAGAATTTATAATGAGAAACAGCATGAATAGTCACTTGATTGAAAGCAATCACTATACTGATACACCGAAGTTTGAACAATGTCAGAAAAGAAAACTGCATTTAAAAATCCACTCATAGTTTACGTTTCTTGCAAATAACTCTGTTGTTGAGTGAGATAATTTCGTGCACATCGTGGTGTATCTTGTCAATGCTTTGTTCTTCTTATCTTTTTCAAAGTTAGCACACAGCGCTATGTCCTCTCTCTCGCATAAGTTAGATAAAAGTTTGTGTCAATATTTTATAATAAATTCAATAGATTATCGCGTTACGATGATACCTGTTCCTCCAATCATATATGAAACATTGTTTGCACAAGAAAAAGACTTGATAAATTCTTATAAAATCATCTCGTAACTTGCCGTTCCTAGGCGAATTTTGGTTCTAGACTTCCAGGTTTAGCCAGAGACAAGAAAATATAGGCGATGGAAACGCGGAGGCACAAGGAGCAATGTCCCGTCTCTAATGGAACCATGGAGGCGCTGCTCCGGCGGAACTTTAAAGGAGTCTCTGAGGAAAAGGTGGTCCAAGTCACTCTCAGGGCTGCTGTGAGGGTGTGGGTGTTGTGATGATTTCTGATATAATAGGCACTACTTTTATTCGAGTATCAGGAATCACATCGTTCTCATACAAAACATATGCTTATATACTCGCCCATCAGAGAGAAGAAAAGAATATGAAAGAAAAGGATTATAAGGACAGGAGGTGGGAGCAATAAGATAGGGACAAAGTATGAATTAAGGACAGAAAGATAAGGACACAATGCACTCAACCGAGTGCGTTACAGGTGTGAGGAGAGGCAAATCCAGATCTAGAAAAAATGATGGTATTCCTGCAACGGTGTTTATGAAAAATTTAGATTTCCTTCGAAAATGTGGGGTCGCCTACGACAGACTTAGATCTCAGCTCACCGTCTAAGCTGGTTTAAGACTTTTGACCGCTGCCCTGCCAACCGTGGTCACTTATTTGCCACACATTCTTTCTGTCTTATGTTTATTCTCATTTTCGTTCGATTAAAACAGCATCTCTATCACAACTTGAACACTCACAATGTTCAGCAAATGAATGATATTTTTAAATATAAAAAGCACTATTTATTTTATATAGAATACAATGTTGAAGATTGCACACAACATCACCAGGAGTGGATAGAACTGATATCAAGGATTCAATTCTAAAGAAATGGAAAATTAATCGACAATATTGATAATATCTCTTACCATTTGTCGTAATAATTTGACATTCTTTATCAATATCTTTCGGTAATTGATCTTCAAGGGTGTGGGTGTGGATGCGGGTGTGGGTGTGGGTGTGGGTGTGGGTGTGGGTGTGGGTGTGGGTGTGGGTGTATGTGTGCGTGTGGTGTGTGGGTATCCATATAAAGAGAAAAGCACCCACACCCACACTCCATGCCCACAAATGCAGGTAGAAAATAGTCATTTACATGATGAGGAAGATTCTGGTTTAGTGCATAAATATACGAGACTCATCTTTGTACAATTAAATCAATTAGTATTGCTTTGAAAATTGTATGTTACTTTTTTAGCTAGTCGATAGTTCATACGAATATGAACATCATTCGGTAAACATATATGATTATTACATAAATATCATCCGTGATAATCTTTCGTGGTTTGAACAAAATCAAGTTGAATAAGATGAGAATATTCAATAACTCTAAAATCTTGTTTTTCATTTATTCTTAAATTGCTGATAAAATCAATATGAATATAATGTAGTAAAATTAAAGAAAAAAACAGTTAATGGTAGAATAGAAAATGATAATAGTTGATGACATATGGAATTTAGTTTAAATCGTAATGATTGTAAACTAGTAAATATACTAAATATAGGGGGTGGGTGTTGATGTCTTTTCTAGTCTACACCCACACCCTTAATTAACACGTATAAAGAAATTCGTTTCTAAAACGAGAATTTAGACTAAATACTTGTGTTTGAAATAAGTTCACTTCAGTAGATATTGAAATTCTACTTGTAACAATATATAAATAAATAATCTCATTCAACCTTCGCAATAGTTCTATTAAACTATTCAATTAGTAACAAGAGTCATCATGGAAAATACAGAAAACGTAGGTTAGTTCATTTTCTTTTGTGAAACATAACTAGATTTAATTATATTAGATATAGCTGGTAATTCAATTAAATTTATCTTTTGATAAGATTCTTTCAGGTTATTGAACTGCAAGGTATCACACGCATCCATTAAATATTTGATATCGGCAGCTTTCTCTTGCTCAACTTTATTAAACATATTGAAATCAAAAATAGTCGATTCATTATCAAATTGTCAAAAGTGCTGTAAACTAAGAGAGAATAGAATGTTTAAAGGTGTACTATTCATAGTTTTCGTCAGTATTTAAATAAAAAATAATAAAAACTTGGTCGGAAGATTATAATAATGTTGATTTTCTATTCAATGGTTTAGTTTTATTCAATTGAAAAAATCCTCGCTACTTTCAATCGATTTTTCTTCGATTGTTCAACTGTATTTTCAATTCCCGCACAGGATTTTAATAATGAAAGTGTTTATAGCCACACACTATTCTAAGAGATTGGGTTCTTAAACAAGAGTTGCAAAGTAAAATACTTCTGAAAATGAATTTTCTTACATTAATATATTTTGTAGAAAATCATCATGATGATAAAAATATTGATTCTACTGAAGAACAACATAATCTGAATGAAATATTTCCAAGAGCTTTCATAATAACAACAATCAATTGAGAAACGAGATTATTCGAAAGGCCTATTATTGGAAAATAAATTCAATGATCATCAAGTCAAAATGAAAGTAACAGAACTAAAAAAATAAGTAGGGTACGCGGAGATATAGTTTTCGTTCGGTTTCACTGAGACGAGGGAAAGTCAAGAGAGAACGTCTCCGAAATTTAAAGAGAAACAATTTTCGTTTAAAATTTTTGTAGTAAGATATATTATATGGAACCTAAAATGATCTTATTTTCAATAGAAACAGTATTTTCGTCCACAAGAACATTTTTCTTTCAATAATGTTACAGATATTTTTCTTTTAAAAAATGAATTGACTCAAAAGAGAAAGTATTCTATTGGCGCATAAGTTCTGAGAGTTTCGATCAGTAGAATAATATCGCCAATATAAAACTACATTTTAAAGAAAGTAATTATATATTCTGATAGCGCTCGAAATTCTCTATCACCCTGTGTATTTAAGTCTTGACTTCCATTTATTTGCTGAAAAATAGTTTGAGTATAGTGAAGACACCTTCGCCCTCAGATTCCCACAAACTTCATTTTTTTTTTCTTTTCTCATGTGTTTTTAAAATCTTTATCTATATAGTAATCCATTTTTTTAGAAAAAGTAATTATATATTCTGAGAGCTCTTGAGTTGCTCTATCGCCCTGTGTATTCAGTTCTTGACTTGAACTTATTTGCTGAGAAATATTTCGAACATTGTCAATGCGGGTGAGGGTATCTTTATTGTATTCAAAATACTTTTCAGCAAATAAATGGAAGTCAAGACTTAAATACACAGGGTGATAGAGAATTCCGAGCGCTATCAGAATATATAATTACTTTCCTTAAAATGTAGTTTTATATTGGCGATATTATTCTACTGATCGAAACTCTCAGAACTTATGCGCCAATGGAATAGTTATGACCTAAAGAGAATACTATTCTGATGTAGAGAGAAAGTATATTTCTTTGAGAGAAAATAGTTCAAATATTAAGATAAAAGAGTCCAAATTTAAAAAGAAAGTATCTTTAGTAGAAACTGGTTCAAATTTTAAAAGAATAGTTCACATTTGAGGAGAAAATTATTCAATGAGAAAAGCAAAACAGTTAGATGTCTTTTGACATATTCATTCGGATATTATAAAATGACATTCCGCTAAGTGCTCGCCAAGAAAATTTTCAGAGAGAAAGGAATAAGAACTAAAAAAACTAGCGGGAACAAGTCTTCTAGCACCTCCAATCCGTAATTGTACGCCCTGTGTTGAAATAGACATCATGTAACAAAAAATGAATTAGATCCAACTGATTCGTAATCGAATGATAACAAGAATCAATCAATTATTAGTGTGGAAGCGATACTCGTGTTTTTAATTTACTTTTTTATATATTTTCGTTTTTTCACTTTGTCAAAAGTGAAGATAGGGATTGGTGAACAGAAAACTGACATCTACACTCGCACCTTGTAATATTATTTAACTAAGACATAATTCAGTAAAGTCTTTTGAGCATTTTTATGGTTTACATTGATGGAACAACATCCTATGATAGAAATCATTGTTAGTCTTTTTGAAATTTTTACGAACATATTTTATACCTCCCATGTAAACACCAGACGCAGAATATACGCGTGTTATCGCAGTTTCATTGTAGACCGCGTTCAGACACGCTAAAAATTGATTTTCACCGCGTTTGAACGCGGTTTCTATTACAGTCGCGTCTATACGCAACTGAAGAAAATTTTCAAACGCATCTGGACGCGATTGTAAATGAAACCGCGTTCGGACGAGGTTACAATCGATTTCTATTCGCGTCTGAACGCGACCAAAAATAAAAAAGCATCTAGACGCAGCCGCAGGAGATTTTGAATCGCGACTGGACGCGATTTTTTACGAGACCGCATGAAAACGCGTTTTATTAAAATTTTTCAAGCGCGTTTGGATGCGGTTTAAGATAGAACGCATCAAGACGCGGTCAGATGGAGATCTGCGCCGTCGCTTAACGCATTTTTTATGGAACCGCGTTTGTACGCAGGTAATAATACTGTTTAGACGCATTCGGATGTGATTTTACGTGAGAGTGCGTCTATACATGATTGACCAAAAACTATTTAAAGGAAGACATAAAATTTTATTATCTATACTCTGGTGGACTTTGGCAAGAATAGAAAGAAATGTTTGGTTTAAAGATTTAGGTACTTATATAAGAGAAAGATGTTTTTATCGTAGCATAATAAATTTCTTTAGAAACTTCATCTTTTAATGTATGAAAAAAGTAATACGAGTGGCCATTAGTATAATGAGACTATCTCTCTACTCTGTACTATTTCTACTAATCGATAGCCTGTTTTCAAAATAAGGGATAAATATAAAAAAGTTTTGCATCAAACCGTAGATCAAGAAGTCTGCTCTAAAATAAGAAAGATAAAATTTATTTTCACTTTTTGATCAAAAAACTCTTTTTGAAATTTAAGTTATAAATTATGTCCTCAATTTGAACTTTGTTTTAAAGATAAAATACACTTTGTCATAAAACAACTGTACCTCAAGTGTTTAAATTTCATGGTTGGCGTAGTGTTCAATTCATTTCGAATCGTGTGTGTTGTTTTCATTTTATATTGTTACGGAAGGAAGATACGCAAGAAGATACTCAAACCCGAATAGAAAATCTAATAGACAAACCTCTTTTCTAGGTTTCCTAGACGTACACATCATCTCTACCTTATCCATTGTGTATACATAAGAAAAACACTCGCAAAATCTGTACTAAGTGCTCTAATGACGTATATAAATTTGCTAAAAAACCTCAAAGAAGATGACATTTTAGAAATTAAAAAAAAAATCTTTCTATGTTAACATGATTTGAAAAAAGCTTTGGTAAACGCTTTTTTATATAATAAGAAAGAAAGACGAAAAAAGTACATGATATTTGATAAAATATAATAGCTATATAATAAGTTCTAAAAGATAGGCACTATTTAGTATTATAAATAATAGTCTTACACGACAAAATAAATGAAAATTATTTGCAAAAGAAAAAGTTGTCGAAAATTTTAAAGAAATTTTAATATACGCAATTTATTTTATACAAGTTTATTTTCATACAAGAATATCAATATTAACAAATGAGATATAATTTAGGCAGAAAACGTTCTGTTGATAAATGCATTTGTACATAATATCGATATGAAGTCACGATTCATATATACTTTCTGTTTCATTCGACAACGATTGTGGTCACATGTGGCTTCATGGTATGTATACTTGCTTCTTAATTGCTAGTTCACTTGTTCTAATCTCATTTCTATCGTTTTAGATAAATCAATATTTCAACCTTCCGTTCGCCTATAGTGAGGTAAAGACCATCGTTAGGGGATATCGATGGCGACTCAGTTCAAACCTGAGACGGATTGCAATATTTTTTAAAAATCTTGAATGTCGAATCGAACGCGTTTAGACGCGATTTAATTTGTAATCGCGTCTAACCGCAATTTGGTTTGGAACCGCGTCTCCAATGAAACATTTCTTGCGTCTAGCCGCGGTTGGAGAAAACCGCGCCTCCAGTGAAACATTTCCTGCGTCTAGACGCGGTTTTTTACAACCGCGTGTAGACGCGATTTTCTCCAACCGCATCTAGCCGCAGCAAATGTTTCACTGGGGACGCCTTTTTTGCGTTTCTTCGCTGGGATTGACACGCAACGAAACGCAACTCAGACGCGTTTTTATCAAAAAAATATTTACATGGGCTCTACAATAGAAGTAGAATCAATTACAATGATATCAATACAATTGTATTGATAATCTTTTTCTAGTAATGAATATGAAGATTTGTCAAATTATACTTTCGTTTACATATAAATGTATTTGTTTTCTACTTTAATTATGTAAAATAATTCTATTGAGTGAACTTTATTTCGAGACATTGTTACGTGTATGCAATTTTATATATACAGCAATTGATTTTTGAATGTTTGTTTTTAATCATTATATGGTTAATATAGTAAAGATAATATGAAAGATGAAAAGGTGTGAAGGTGAAGTTGGAATCAATTCTTATCTAATAAAACAAAACATGCATATATACATATGCATTTTCACTTACCAAAGAATTGTTCCAACTGTTAAATCACTTTTTGATTGAGATGATCTGTACTTAGTAAATAATAGTGAGCAATAGACAAATGTAAAATGGTTTGGTTTTCTAGTTCGTAATTCCTTCGATGTGAAAGTTCTATGGTGTTTTTTGCAACATGAATATTCCACGATTCAGAGCGTAAGAGATTACAAAATTTACAAGTCGTTCAGTTAATTGTATCTCATTAAGAATTCTGTTTGTGAAAAATTTGAAATCGAAATGCTCGCGTGACTTGAGTAAACGAAAGCTTTTTTGTTCGGAAAACCAAGTTAGTTTATGGTTTTTTAAAATCAATTACTAACATTCCTCAAATAAAAATTGTTTCGATCAGAAAAACAATTTGACGTATGAAAAAGTTTCCTCGTTATGTGTCGAATTATTAACATTTCGATTTTCTAGAGACTCAGTTTTACCGAAAAAGTCGTCTTTCCTAATTTTTATCTCAAACTTGACACACAACAAACTCAAGTAGATTAGTATTGAAAAAAAGTCATAAGTTTTGAACAAATTCTGTTCGTTATGTAGGACTTTAAAGATACAGATCTAGTTCAATTAATAGTATATTTTCATATACTATTTTTGGAAGCTAGTCTAGCTGAGTTCTCTATATGTACAATATTTGATAGCTGACGAGAAAGTGTCTCCAAAATGGTTAAAAGATGTTAAGCCTATGCTTTCTTGGGGTGTGGGTGTGAAAAAAAGAAAGAACAACACCCATACCCACACCCTACACCGCACACCCACACCCATGTACAAGTTTAATTGCTATATAAAAGTCTATATAAACTAGTAACTACTTGATAAAGGTTGTTGTATGACCGTTAATTTCCAATCCATCGGAAGAAGTATGTGCCATTGCAGTCTGGTTAAATTTGATGAATATGAGAACTGGAGAGAAGCAGAACTCTCTCCTAACGTTGGAAACTTTTCTACACATTACCTACTCTAAGTTGGTAAAAATATCTAGTCTTTCTGAAGTTTTTCAAAATATAAGGTCGAAAGCAACGCCGAAGAAACACGCATGTGTTTGTATTTCCATATTGATAAAAAAATGCTTCTATAGCTGACAAGAAAATATGAATGGAAAAAGTTTTATCGTCGGAATTGAACGATATAACGAAGTGCGATTTGCGATTCATCAAAGACGATGTATTCGTTGTAAGTACATCGATGATATGTATGATTTGGATCCGTACAAGAAATCAACTGGCCTAGTGGCATTTGGGCACCGAAATTTCTCGTGATGGTGAGCCGTGGATCAGGAATTGAGTGGCCATGAGCCCTACGACTTTGATATTTATCGAGGTCTAATGGTTGGCCACCATGACCGCTTATATCAGTAACGTCTTCAGACTTGCCTAATGCTACTTCGCATAACAACATAAAACAACATTCACCATTGGTTTGTCGAACACCGGAACAATAGTTCAGACTTTTCACAAAGGCGTCAGCTGTGTAGATTCCCTAGAAGACGAAGCAAAAATTAGTAAAAAATGTTCTTTTTTCATATACCTTCCCAAATAAACTTCCAGTGCTTTTTGCACATAAAGGCGCAACTAAAAGTCCTAAAAATAGCAGAGAAAACCATTGTCTTGTTGATATACTCCAAGGGAATGAGTACCTCGTATAAGTATACTGGTCAAATTGCAAATATTAGTACCATGCCACAATAAATAATGATTATCCAGATTCTGTTGAAAAAGTCGTTCATCATCATTCGATCGTGCAACTTTGAGTATTTGTTCGACTTTAATATTAGGTGCACTTGTCCATATATAACGTAGAATGAATTGTGAATCAATATCGTCTTGATTCATGGCTTCAAATTGACAGTTAATCGATTTATATAAATAATCTAATGGTGATATTTTATTCAAATTCGCTTCTGCAGCGAGAAGAATTTTATAGGATAGTTCTAATTCAAATATGTCATTAAGCTTTTGTTCTTGTATCTTGACAGCTGCTAAAGTATCGATCATCGGTATTCTCTCAGCACCATAACCTTGTAAAGGTATGATACTGTAATATTCATTATTAAGTTGGCAAATCGACTCAATTAAACGTTTGAGTTCAGTTCTTTCATTAGAATCAACTGATGAGGTTTGAGCATCATCGGAGGTAGTTTGTTGAATAACTAATTTAAGTTTGTCCTTTTGTTCAATATCTGTTGCCAATTTTGCCAATATGTCACGTGCTCTTTGTAGACTTTCGGGTTTTAATTGAGAAACAGGCATCCATTCGACATCTAAATTAGCTTTGTTGATATTTTCTCGAATAATTTGACCATTGAGAAATGTTTTGAAAAAGTTCTTATAGGCTGTTGATTGTAATTTTGATGGTATTTGTTCGCTCTCATTCTCTAATCGTTGAAAGTGAATGGGAACATCCGTGTGTTTATGTGTTTGACGGTCGCTTAATTTTATTAAAGTATATTTTTTAAGTTTCTTTTCGAATTGATTCGTATTTTCCCACGCGTTACCAGTTTTATCACGAAAGATTTTACAGAATTCAGCTCGACATTCTTCGAGTGTTGAGTAAGGTGTTAATTGATGTTGTCCATCACCATCACCAATACGTCCCCAACGTGTGAATAAAAGATAAAGATTTGTTTTCGTTTTATGTTTAATAATTTGCATTCGATAAAAATTATATAAACCAATTAAACCATAATCTACATCAGTGATGGTTAAACGAACATCATAAGGTTCATTCTTGTCTGCATCCCAGACAATATCTCCTGTTTCACTCATATTCGATAATGGATCGACTTTATGAATACTATTCGTATTGTCTAAAGGACGAGCAGCAATGCATTGGTTAATATACTGTTGAGCGTCTGAATAATAATCTGGAAGACCAAGCAGATTCTTATTTGGATCATTAACAGTAAAACACTGATTTGTTAAATCTTCAGTATCCATCGGTTGCTCATTGGTTAATTCTTTCAGTTTTTCATATAAATGTCGAAAACCAGCATTCTTAGCTGTGTATTGTAATGGTGATAGACCCATTCGATCAGGTTTAGTTAACGAGACACCTGATCTATACAGTAATTCCAGCATTTCGATGCAATTCACATAAGAAGCATCGACAAACGGCTGAACTAAATGATGAATGCACGTGCGTCCAAGTGCGTCCGTTGCACCAAAATCGATATTAGACGTGACTTTAAATTTATTTGACTCATCCTTGGGTTCCTTATCATCAGATATATCCTCTTTTTCTGTCTCTTGTTCATCCTCATCATCAGCAACTGAAGTCGTCGTCGCCCCAAGAAAGAATCCTTTCGGCTTTGGTTTCCGTTGTACATTTGGTCTCCGTAAATGAGATACTGTTTTCGAAGATCGATTATACTCCTCATGTACATAATCTTTATTGAGCAATAACTTCACCATATCCAAGTCATTCTAAAATTAAAAGAAATTTCTAAATCAAAAGAGATCGATGTCAATCTATTTTACCTGTCGAATAGCGTGCATCAATGGTGTCAGTTGTTCTTCATCTGGGAAATTCACATCAGCACCTAGTTGAAGTAAGAATTTCGCCAATTCAAAATTACGATGAATTACTGCATTAATCAATGGTGATGTTCGAATAATCGTTGATGGATTTTCTAATTCTAGAGGTGTACGTGCAATTCCTTTTCGTAAAAATGTGTTATTGCTTTCGAATGACAAGGGATTTCTTGCAGTACGATTATCATAATTGCATAAACAATCAACAAAATTACCCGAAGTAATAATGGTTCGAATAAACCACTGCTCAATAGAACTGCTTCCAGCTGAATTCCAGAATAATAAAGCATAAGCTGAATTTCCATATCGATCGGTTCGATTGAAATCCAATTCCTTTGGATACTTGTTGTGTAAGAATTGAATCAATGGTTTGTACTGCTGAATACACGCATAGTGTAATGGATACATCCCGTATTCATCAGGAGCATTCCAGTCAATATTAAAATTGTAAAGATAAGTGAAGAATTTTTCTAAAAATTTTGCATCGTTTACTTGCTGGATCGTAGTGATATGAAATAAATTTTGTTTGCGAGTGTTTGTTCCTTGTAAGACAGTTCGATTCCTAACGGTCGCCATCAGACGAAGAACAAGATTCAATTGTTTATGTAAAATCGCAGCTTCTAACACTTGGATATATTTCAAATGAAAACGCTCAATGTCATCGAGAATTAGAGATAAAACCCCTTGCCAATTGTGCTGCTTGATGATTAAAGAAATCAAAGAATCTTCTTCGGCGGAAGTCGATGTACTGAACTTGTGGTAACGTTTACTCAAATCGATGTCGATCGGTTGCTGAAGAAATGTAATTAGAAGATTCAAACGCTTCAGTGCGATGCAATCAGCAATGACGGAATTCGATAGATTGTTTTCATTCAACAAATCTGCACCTCGTTTTAATAGAAGCGTTACACAAACAGTAGATTCTTTCGAAACAGCAAGACGTAATGGAGTATTCCCTTTGTCATTTTTCGTATCTAATGATTCATAATTCATTGATTGCATGATGAGAACACAGAGTTCGACGGGATCAGTACTGTTCTTATTTCCCAAGAAGACATTATGTAATGGAATATTCCCAAGATCATCTTTAATGAATAGGTCACAACCATTATCGATTAGAGTTTGTTCGATAATATTAACCGTATCGACGGTGCCTTGATTATGAAGAACAGCAATATGTAATGGTGTGCTACCAGATTTTCCTTTCGAATTCAATGTATGTTTACCGATAGCGATCAATTTTTCGATAAATAAATGAAAAATTTCTAAATATTCATCAGAGCGAGTTGTAGTAGCTAGAAAATAATGTAAAGCTTGATTGTGCTGATCATCATAAGCAAGAAGATCACATTTTGGATGATTTAAAAGATCACGAATAGTGGGAAAATGCTGAAGTTCACACGCAGCCATCAATGGAGTTTGTCCATTATCCTGTGTATTTGATATTTTAGCTACATTCACATCACATGATGGTTGTTGAAGTAGCATTTGAAAAATTGTGTAGCTTTGAGCATGAATGGTTCGTAATAAAGGTGTATCACCTGTTTCACTATGATGAGCATTGATGTTTTCTGATTTTTTAAGGAAAATTTCCAATGGATGCTGATCGGCTTGGTTGCTAAGAGGACCCCCGTATAATAAATGAAAAATGCATGTTTCATCATAGCATTCAAGTGTATCAAGGAAATATCGAATCATTTTGCTTATTGATTGATATTGGCTAAGTCGATTGGCAAAGCTATAAAATTGACTACCAAATATTTCTTCATATCTCAAGGTACAATATTGAAGCGGTGTCCGGCTTGCGTTGTCCAATGTTAAACTCATCTTTTTCAGATCATCTGTCACCAGTAAATTCAGTAGTATTTCAACAAGTTTTTCATCATCACTATTCATAGCAAAATAATGTAAAAATGTTTTGCCATCACTGTTCCTATCCAAAGTTAACTCCACCTTTGCTTGATTGATTAAGAAATTAACCATAAAGACATTTTTGGATTCAAGTGCGAGCATCAACGGTGTTTGCGCTTTGTTATTCATTTGAGTAGGATTACAGTGATGATCCAGTAAAATTTGCGCCATTCGAAAATAATATTTTTCAGATGCAGTACTGTCCCTGTCTGGCAGTGACTTTGATGCTAAATAATGAAAAGCATTGTTTCCGTTAACATCAACACATGTACAATCAGCATTGTGTTTGACCACAGCATATTCCAATTGTTGAACAGAGTATTTTGAAACATCTAACTCAACGGTAAGGATAACTACCGTTAAACCTTCATCGTTTTTAAAATTAATATCTGCTCGATGTTCATTCAAAAGATAATCACAGATACCGTAATGTCCTTTGGAAAAACCGATTCCAAGACATGATACTTGCCAACAGTTGGCACAATTCATATTTGCTCCAGCTTCCATCAATAATCGAACACAAAAGTACCAGCCATAAGCAATCGCATAATGCAAAGCGGAATTCATCGATGAATCGAAGACATTTGGATTCGCACCAATACGAAGTAAATATGAAACGACGTGCGCATGTCCATACATACAAGCATGAATTAACGGTGTTCGTTTGAAACGATCGCGTGCTTCGACTCGAGCTCCGTGTTTAATTAAGTATTTCACAATATCTAGAAATCCATGTTGACATGCGAACATGAGCGGTGTTAATTTTTCCTTTGATATACTTGTAAACACATCAATAGTTGCACCATATTGAATAAGAACTTCAGCACATTCTATATGGTTATTGATAACAGCTAAGTGTAAAGGACATTGTTTAGCTGTATTCATACGATTGATTGATGCGAGACCATACTTTTGATATTCCGCCATATCTTCTGCCTCATTTGATTCAGCCTTTTCTTTTGCTTTACGCAATAGTAGTTCGGCATTGGAATGGCGACCATATCTGCAAGCAATGTGTAATGGTGTATCCCCATCTTTGTCAGCATCATTGAATTTGACATCTCTAGACATCGATATTACAGATCAATTTAAATAATCTCTTTTGATAGTCTTTACTTTGATAACAGATATTCTAGTGATTCCGGCCCTTCACAAGCAGCAGCATAATGAATAGGTTTTCGGTCTTGTTTATCGGCAAGATTAAATTCAGACACAATCGCCAGTAGTTGTTTCAAATATTTTGCATTTGGATTAATAGCAGCACAATGAATAGGTGTTACCTACTACATGTATTAGAATATCGTTTTCAAATAGAAGATCTTACTCGACAATTTTCTTTAGCTTGTTTAATAACGTCGCAGGCGCTTTTAACACTGATATCTTCTTGATCAAAGCTCAAAACCTATGAAGAATTAATACAATTAGTGTGTTTTCAACATTTTGAGATTTCGATTTACTTGATGATGAAGCTCATTGAATCCGTAGTGACTGACGACGGTTATGTCATTCATAATACTAGCAGCTAACTTTCGATGACCAGCCTGAATGCACACGATCACATTATCATAGACATCAGAACCCTAATTAACAAGCAAAAAGATTCTTCTTTATATGTATCAAGAATTGTTTTCAATTACGTATGAATTTTTACGAATTAAATCATAAACTTCACGTGAACAATTGTTTTCCATGGCAAACATGAGGATGTATTTTAGATCGTAGCGACTGAACACATTGTCTGTATCCTAGATCGATTTTTCAATAAAGAAACAAAAACTTAAATTCGTTATCAGTGTTATACTTTCAGTAATGCATTATTGCCTTCACGAGCACCACGACTAGCCATAACTTCAGCTGTTCGAAAGCCAAGAGTACGAATACTTGCACTAATTAAATAAGCATTCATGTAGACCCCTCATCTCGTTCAATTCTTACAAAACTATTTACTTTCCTGTTGTTTGTTTTTTCAAAGTCACTTCTGGAAAAGAACATCGGTCGCTTTTCGGATGTAGCAAATCCTCTACTAGCATTTGAAGTAATTCAATATTATTATTTCTAATTGCATAATGAATAGCTGAAAAACTCTTTGGGAGATCACGTTTAATATGTACCTATAATTACAAAACAATGGAACAATCAATAACCAAGCTGTGAAACCCATTGTTTCCTACCGAGTACACACGAGCCACATCGTCAATAAAACTTTTCAACAGTTCTGCATCATTTAGTATAACAGCACGTATTGCTAATTTACTCTGAACACTCGATGAAATAAATGGCACAGGAATACTAAACAAATCATCATCACTACAGATTCTCTCTAATCATGAAGAATCAAATCTTACTTAGACTCGAAAAATGGATCGACTTGATAGTCTGTCACAGCTTGATTTTCCTTTAGAAAACGGTTACTTTGTACTTTGAATAATTTCGCTTTCGATTTCTTAGGAATTTTGTTTTGCTCAACGTCATCTACATCCACAGTTCGTCGTCGTCGTTTCCTTATGGGTGAAGCAGCATCACTATTAATAGTCACTTTTCGCTTTTTGCTTTTAGTACTCTTAACCACGTTCGATTCTCCTTTGATTGATTTCTGCAATAAACGATTAGTTTCGATAATATCTTGTTTTTGTAATGTAATTGTTTTATCCGAATGATGAATGACAGATTCTATTCCAGTAAGAATCGTTTCGATCTCAATTTTATCATGATAACTTTCTTTGAAATGTGTATTCTCATCGACTTTATTTTCATTTTGATTTTCATCAACAAATGAATACCATCGAATATGAATTTGTTTTGTATCACTGTAAACGTTTTGAAGAGTTTGACAAAGAAAAAATGAATTGGTCGGACTTCGACATGTTAAAAATGTTTTATTTGAATAGATGAGAGTGTTATCGGATTCTGACATGGATTCATCATTGTCATTTTCATCATTCAGATGATCGTGATTAAATGCTGGTCGATTTTTGCGACGATCAACAGGAGTATCCTAAAATTCCAATTCAAGAATGATTAGAAAGACTTGCTTCGATTTACAGTACTTACATTCCAGTATGCTCCATTCAAACCCGTAAGAACAGGCTTTTCTCTGGATTTCTTATTATTGCTTTTTGCTTTTGATGTCTAAAACAAATCATTCTATTTTTAGAAATAGGAACTGATCATGTACTGACTTGTTTTAATTTTCTTTTTGTTACGGTCGTCATTTAATCGATCTTTAGCATACGCGAGTTACTACAAGTTTCAAGAATTTCTTTTTTCTAATGCAGCCAAGGACAACAATTTGAATAAAAAACACGCGCACTGCGTAGATTTTATACATGGACACATCAACAAACAGAGCAGAAAAAACAACAGTTATTTCATCACACCGGTGCAATTATAATATTGTGACGTGTCATCTATAGCATACCAGTCTTTTAGTCTTTCTATTTTTGAAACTCTGAAATCGATACTTTCTCAAGATATTTTGTTCTCTTTTCGTATAAATGATCAATATGTTTGTTTATCTTTCCACTACCATGGTGTCTGATACGAACTAAAAACTAACTCGTTAGAATCAGTCGTATCTACTCCTCTGTACCGCTGTATAAGAAAGAAAAATGGCAAGTTTTCTTCTTAAAAAATGACTTGATTAGGTTACTGTGTCAATAGGCATTTTATCTTATGTAATATCTTTTCTTTCTCAGTGTGTTACTATACAATCAATGATATGTAGTGTTCATAATCGCGTTACGGCTACGTTCATCTATGCATGATTGAACCTTCTTCTCTTTCTACATTATGGATGTGGGTGTGGGTGTGGGTTGGGTGTGGGGGGGGTGGGGGTGTGGGTGGGTGTGAATGTGGGTGTGATTGTTCATGTTGAGCACAGCCGCACCCAACGCCAAATCCACACCCCAAACCCACCCACACCCCACACTCACATTCCATATTCACCCACACCCACACCCACACCTACACCCACACCCCACACCCCACCCATCCACACCCCACCCACACCCACCCTACCCACACCCCACCCACACCCACACCCAACCCACACCCACACCCACACCTACACCCCACCCATCCACACCCCACCCACACCCACCCCACCCACACCCCATCCACACCCACACCCAACCCACACCCACACCCACATCCATAATGTAGAAAGAGAAGAAGGTTCAATCATGCATAGATGAACGTAGCCGTAACGCGATTATGAACACTACATATCATTGATTGTATAGTAACACACTGAGAAAGAAAAGATAT